GTGTAGAAAAGGATGCTGGTTACCGACGACTGGCAGAACATCCACAGGAATTTCCTGCAGATGTTGAACAACCGGAGCCTCCTCAGGAAGTACAGCCTGCTCTGTCCCCTCTTGTACAGGTAGTCTGTGTTGCATGTCCAGTCCAACTTGTTGTCCAGCCGCAGCCCAAGGTACTTGTAGTTCTCTACAAGTTCTACCTCATGTGTCTCAATCAGAACAGGTCATGGGTATGGTCCAGATTTCCTGAAGTCTATGACCAGTTCCTTTGTCTTTGAGGCGTTGAGCTGCAGGTGGTTTTCTCTGCACCAGACAACAAAGTCGTCCACCAGACTCCTGTACTCACTCTCTTTGTCATCCTTAATACACCCGATGATGGCTGTGTCATCTGCACACTTCTGTATGTGGCACAGCTCCGAGTTGTAACAGAAGTCCGAGGTGTACAGGGTGAAGAGGAGAGGGGCCAGCACTATCCCCCGAGGGGCCCCTGTGCTGCTGACCACAGTGTCAGATGTGATGTCCTCCTGACGTACTGTGGTCTGTCAGTGAGGTAGTTGGAGATCCAGTCCACCAGGCACGAGTCCACTCCCATCCTTTCTAACTTTCCCTGCAGTAGCGGGGGCTGGATGGTATAAAAGGCACTTGAGAAGTCCATGAAAAGAATCCTCACAGTGCCGCTTCGCTTGTCCAGGTGTGAGTGGGCTCGATGGAGGAGGTACAGCACAGCACCCCCCACCCCAACATTTGCCCGGTAGGCAAATTGTAGAGGGTCCTGGACGTGTTGAACGTGGGGCCTGACGAGGTGGAGGAGGAGCCACTCTAGTGTCTTCATCAGGAGTGAAGTGAGTGCCACCGGTCGGTAGTCACTCAGCTCGCTGGGCCGGGTCTTTTTCGGCACCAGAACGATGCAGGATGTCTTCCAGAAGGTGGACACTGTCCCCAGCTGAAGGCTGAGGTTGAAAATGTGCTGTAGCAGCTCCCCCAGTTAAACAGCACAGGACTTGAGCATCTGTGGACACACCTTGTCCGGTCCTGCTGCTTTCCTGTGTCGGATCTTCCTCAGTTGTCCCCTGACCTGCTCGGCTGTTATGCAGGGAGGGGTTTGACTGTCCACATTTATTTATTATTTGCAGTAGTGGCGCTTGTTACTGTCATTTTTTTTTTTTTAATATTCCTCACTGTTCTGCAGACGATCATTTCATTTTGTGCAGACGAAGAGTAATGTGATGCGTTAAACGCCTCCCTTTATGTGAACGAGCACAGAGTCTGAAGCAGAAAGTCTGAATTGATAAAGTAAGTTGACAACCACTTTTGTGACATCCATTATCTCTGGCTGGGGCTCTCGTTTCTGTCGAGCCAGCTTACACAAAGAAAGCCTGGCTATGTCACACTTGCTTCGCAGTATACCCCTCAAGTGCCTTCTTACTGTTGACACATTTTTCTGTTATCGTCTTTGCTAATCTGGGTGACTAAACATGTGTTTTTGAGCCACTTCTCAGCTGCCACTGAAATAATTATGTTCAACAATGTTCTTACGGTTCCTTTGGCTTGTTTTATCAAATTTTTCACCTCTTTGTTAATTGTCCTTTTTGCCAGGCTACTCACTGTGAAGAGGATGATTTTCTTGTTGTTCCTGACATTTCTGAGCTCTTTAGTGACCCATAGTTTATTGTTAGGGGAGATTGTAATGCGTTTACATGGAATACAAGTGTCCACGCAGAAGAATATGCATGAACAAACTGTTTTTAATGTAAAAAAGATACTTTGTTATTCAGGGCCACCTTGTATTTTCAGAAATTTGGATGACCTATGTTTTTCTCACAGGGTGGCTCATCCTCCCCTCCTGTCCTCTCCGTCAGTACCACTTTGTGAACGAACCATTGACTTGGAATGAAGCTCAGTCCTACTGCAGAGAGACATACACAGACCTGGCCACCACAGAGAGCATGACGGAACTCAACCAACTCATTGACACAGTTTCATCTTCTGGTCACAAGTCTGAGGTGTGGATCGGTCTGTATACTGAAATCGACTGGAGGTGGTCAGATGGGTTCACAGGGAGCGGGGCTGAGTACAGGAAATGGGGATATGGAGAACCCGATTCTTTGTTTGCAAGAGAGTTCTGTGTGTTCATTTCATCGACTGCACAATGGTATGATGCATATTGCCCAAGTGATCGCTCAGTTGTCTGTTACAAAGGTAAGGATATCACTCATATACAGTATAAAAAGTACAACCCTGTGCAACATCAAGTGAATATCAAATGATTCAGCATTTTATCACCTCACAGTAATTGTATCATTTCTAACTTGAACAGTTGGGCATCTGCGCCTTTGTAGTAACAGTAACAAGTAACACACAGTAGGAACTCCACACCTTTCATTATTAAGACTGTTATTTTTAACATTTCATGTGTCCACTTTCAATTTTGATGACTCACTTCTCCTCAGGATGGAAGATACCATAGAAATGTTCTGCTATTCTTCAGAGACAAACTGTTCAGCTGCCTTTTACTGCAGAGGTTGTGTTGCTCTGCATTTTTCTTTAAAATACCTCAATGATGTGCTTTTGGATTCAGCTCAGGGGACACACTTGTCCAGGTCATAGTTTTCACTTTTGTCTTCTTTATAAACTCTTGCATGATTTTGACAGTGTGCTTTGGATCATCATCATGTGGGAACATTCTTCTTTTGCCAAGCCTCTGCAGGCTGGGAGTCATCTTGTCAACCAGTATTTGGCATATCCACTGTCAATCAAAGGTGCCATTGTCACAGATCAGGTTGAGAGGTTCACTCGCAGACAAATACACAGTAGATGAGAGCGTACAATCACAAGGTATTTTATTCACAATAAAGAAATGATAGGAAATCGGGATAAAAAACTACAACGTAAAACTACCATTGCCCTCGAGCGGGTTGCAGAAAAACTATCAAAACTAACAGCTGGAATCAATCTGAACAAAACAGATTTAGCGACTCACTATCAAAACTACAAATCAGAACACAGATATTAAGTGGGCTTTACTGAAAAGACTAAACAGGCAATCAGAAGCTTACTGGCTAACCGAGTGGGGAAATCAGGGGACTGGGTCTGGAGATCGATGGCGTGGCAGTATGGCATGTTCGGAAATGGAGCCGGTGATATTACAGGCTGAATGTGTGTGTGTGGTTCATAACAGGTTCATAACAAACACGTTGGACCTCAAACTGTCCATCAAGGTAGATTATTAGATTATTAAGGTGATGCACTTTCTTTTCCACTGACTGGTAAGTCTCAACTCCATCTCAAGCACTTGTCAATCTAAGAGTTTGATTGTTACCACACCTAACTCAGTAACCCTGCTTCTTTGCACATATTTTAGGAATATTGGAAATACTGCTATTTATTGCTCTTACTCTTATTCTATTGTTTTAGTTTATTATTTCTATTTCTTATACAGAGCGCTAAGATTCACAAGAGTCAAATCACAAAGGGTCCTGTCGATTGCGTTATTTGGGGAAAGTGAACACTGCGGCTCTTATTTCGTGAGGCTTACTGAAAAGCTAAACAAGGTTTTTTTTTACTTTCTTTGTTTTTTAGTCATCACAGGTTATTTGAGTTTTTTGGGGGGGACGGGTTTGCACAGGTGGGCGACACAGTGATACTGTGGATAGCACTGTCGCTCCACAGCTACAACATCCTGGGTTGGACTCCTGGCTTAGGATCACTGTATGGAGTTTGCATGTTCTTCCTGTGCCTGTGTTTGTTCGCACCCGGATCTCCAGTGTCCTCCTACACTCCGTAGACCTGATGAGGTTATTTGGTGATTCTAAATTGTGGGGAGGTGTGAATGGAAGTATTCTTAGCTGTCTGTCTCAGTGTGGCCCTGTGATAGACTGGTGACCTGTCCAGGGTGAACCCTGCCTACAGTCAGCTGGGATAGACTCCAGATCCCCTACGACCCTACAGAGGATCAAGTGGTGTATGGATAATGGATGGATGGATCATTGGTGTATTCACCTTTGTTGCCTTAAGTTTCTATCTTGGGGCTTGTATTTTCAGTGTAACTCAGAAATAATACTGAGTAAGAGTTGATACAATTTTGAATCATGTGTCATTGAAGTGATATTGCACAGGGGTGAACTGTTTCTGTTACATGAAGTCCTTCAGTCTTAAAATAATACAGCTTTTAAATTCACTAAGTGAACTCATCTTCTCCCTCAAACTGCAGGAACACAGCTGGATCCTGAGTACGTTGCTGTGAATAAAACCATGTCTTGGTCCAGTGCTCAGAAGTACTGCAGGGAGAACTTCATAGACCTGCCCACTGTGAGGAATGAGACTGAAAACCAGCAGCTCCAAAACGTAGTCCACAGTCAGGCATGGACTGGTTTATTTAGAGATCCTAAGTATCACTGGTCTGATGGGAGCAGCTTCTTCTTCCACCACT